CCAAAACCTGGGGCCTCCCCTCAACTGGCACCGGCCTCCTGCTCATTCCTCGCACCCTCCACCCCCACAATCAGAGGTCAGGCTTTCAGCCACTATGCCCCGAAACTCTATCACACTCTCTCTCAATCCTTCTGCCTTGCCCCCTCTCTCCCCTCCTTCAAGTCCCGCCTGAAAACTTTCCTCTTCGACTGTGCTGACGGACTCCTCCCCCTGGCTCGGAGTCAGGCTCCACCACTGCTAAGTGGTCTAACACGCTACTCTGCGTGGAGGGCGCTATATAAGTCCAAGTTGTTGTTGTTGTCAATGATTAAGACCAGCCAAACATGCTTCTTTTAGAACCGTCACAGTCAGGGTAAGAAGACATTCATCTACGAAAGATTTCTTCCAATAAATTGTAATCCAGTACCGTCTGTCTGAAAGTTCACTTAGTCTTGGCCTGAAAGTCCATTTTATCTTAAAATATTAAAGTCAGGCAGCATCGTGGAAAGTGTTTAAAATCAGTCTTTGGAAGCCAGTTTATTTTTAAGAACTGCAGGAAATGGTTCCAAATTATGCCTGAATCTAAGAATTTTCCACGGTTCTGCTCAATCTTAAATCATGAGAGAAAATGGTCCTACAATTATAATTTATATAACTCTATAAGGAGGGAGGATGTCTCAAAATGCAGCCGATAACTAGCAGCGATGGTGTGTGTGTGATTGTGTTTATGGGCAGGGAGCGGGGAAGGTGGCCAAAAGCACAGTCGAAATTGTAGGTCTTAAGGTGAGTTTTGAGGGCTAAGAGTGGATAGATTTTTGGGTGCAGGCTGAGATTCCAACAAAACCAATTTATATAGACATAAAAATAATCTAAAAAAAATCACAAACTGAAATTAATTTGTTAACAAGTTGATGTCATGTAGGTAAGTTTAGTCTATGAAGATCTATATTAGGGGATACATTTTCATTCCAATTATCACGCAGGAGTACTTTGTTTAAATAATTCTGCATTTGAAGATTATAGACCAGAAAATTCAATGTCAACCAAATTGCTGAGATTTCACTATATTTACAGGTGACTTAAGCAAGGCTATAACTGGAACATTTAGTGGCTGCCTCAAAATTGATTTAAAATCAAAGAAGGATAATCCTGTACTGCTTGGAGCAACCAAGATCATCCATTTCAATTGAAAAGTTCAAGTTGAAATGTAATCCTAATTGTGTATCAGTTGGGCTCAGTTGGTAGCACTGTTCGCTTCTGAATCAGAAGATTGTGGATTCAAACCCCACAACGGAACTTGAATCCCATATAAGTAAAAGGCAAAGTACTGCCTTGTTGGAACCCATATAGTCTGACAGTCCAATACAGTGCTGTGGGGGGTTAAAGTTTCAGATCAGACTTTAAACCAAGGTCCTGCTTGCCTGCTCAGGTGGACACTAAAGATCCCATGGCACAATTCAAAAACAAAAGGGAATTTATTAGAGTGTCCTGGCCAATAATCCACCAAATAAAAATGGATCATTCACTCCATAGCTGCGTGTCAGACTTTCACCCAGCTGGGTTTGACTACAAATACCCAGTTACTACACTTTATAGTATATCTTGTGAAGTGCTTTGAGACATCTTTCTGACATGAAACACGCTATATCAAACGCAAGCATTGTTGTGGTTGTTATTAACTATTCATACAGTCCAACCAGACTATCAGGCTAAATGTGTTTTACCTTCTGAATGTCCAACTACTCAAGTTAAACTGTTGGTTAGACTCAATGGGCTGAATGGCCTCCTTCTGCCCCCTAAATTTCGATGACTCTATGGCTTCATTGTACTTTTCCTGCCTTTGCTAACTTGTCAATTAATATTAAAAAATCATTATTCAATGGTCTTATACATAGAAAGATCATTTGAACTCTCTAAAATAAATACTACAAGTGCAAAAGGAATACGAATGGAGAGAAAATGATCCTGTCTCACATTCAAGTCCTGGAATGATACGCTTCAGTATCCTGGCAAGTAGGTTTTACCTGAGAATCAAAGACCAGGAGGTGTGTGAAATAACACACTAGTACAATAACAACAAGATTCCATTTATAGAGCGCCTTTCACGTTGGGAGGACGTCCCAAAGCGCTGGACAGTTGGGTCAGGACCTGAGCAGGGGGGAAATGGTCAGGGTGAGGGAAGGGAGGGAGCGAGGAGGGGGGACATGGTCAGGGTGAGGGGAGGGAAGGGAGGGAGCGAGGAGGGGGTAGAGAGTTGAGAGGGGAGCTGAAGGCATGGTTAAAGAGAAAGGTCTTGAGACCGGCCTTGAAGGAGGAAAGGGAGGAGGCAAAGCGAAGGCACTGGGGGATAGAGTTCCAGAGCCTAGGGGCTGAGAGGCTGAAGGCCCGGCCACCGATGGTAGAGCGGTTGGAGCGGGGGATGTGGAGCAGACCGGAGCCAGGGGAACGGAGGGTACGGGCAGGTATTAACCAGAACACAAAATACTGCAGATGCTGGAAATCTGAAATTAAAAACAGAAGTTGCTGGGAACATTCAGCAGGTCAGGCAGCATCTATGGAGAAAGGAAAGTGAGTCAACATTTCGGGTCCAACACCCTTCATCTTATGCTTGTGTTGCTGCCACACAATTACATTGTTCATATATTGTATTGTACATCAAGCCATTAAAGACCACTTATCTCTCTGTATACGGAGAGATAAGTGGTCATTAACCGCTTGATGTACAATACAATATAAATAATGTAATCCCTTTTGTGCTCAGTTATGAAAAGTGACATGTATAACAATAAGTGGAGATTAACAGTGACATCACCTTTATATCTGTTAAAAGCCCGTAATGAAAGGTTAACAGAGATATAATGCAGTTTCCCTCCTCCACTACATCTGCAACTCTATTGCTCTATTTGCATGAAGTCAATCATCGCTCATTTATCAATGAGATAAAATTGGATCAATTAATGGGAATATTTGGTACTCTCAACCTGATCTATGTCTAGGACTGGTCTGAAGTGCTTTGAGACATTTCAACGTGATCTACAATTATTTTGTTCTTTAGCCAGTTCTCAGAACCAGACTCTGTCCTTTTCTCACTGTTTGTTCCTTGTACCTTGTTACCACTGACCTTTCTGCTGTTACAGACATCAAACATCCTTAAGTAGCATGTCCCAAAGACATGCAGTCTGCTTTTGTGTTTGTGACCAGTGTTCAGTAACATTCAGTTGAGTTGACATTGTGCACATTCCTTTTATCGTGTCATGATTTATGTCCTATCCAGAGTAGTTTCTGTAGTACATCCAATATTACTTCTGGCTAGAGCGGTGAATCTCTCAATTCTTGAATCACTTTTGATAGATGGTCCACGTCCATCACTTCTATCACTCAAATTGGGAATCTGGCCCTCAGCAGCCAAAAAGTTGGACGACCCTGATGCAGTATAACATCTTGGAGCACTTTACAATGCGAGTGGTGGGAGGGGGGAAATGATCATAGGCGCGGTCGAAAAGGTAGTTCTTAAGGGTATTTCAGGTAGTGTGCAATTCAAATAATTGTTAAGAAAGGATAATTAGCCAATAATAAAAGGAAAAATGTTCAGTGGGGTTTGACCCTCTCAATCTGATGTAGGCATAGGCTCCGGATTAGTTTCTGTACCTCCCTTCAATCCTGTCTTATTTGTGGGTTTCTTGACTTTGTTTGAAATAATGGCATGTGGTGGTATGGCTCTCATTTATCATAAATTAAATTCTTTATTATCATGAATTGCTATTCACCATTATGTGTTCTTTATTATAGTGAGTTACATTTCTAAATTTTATGTGCAAAATAACGCATCATTGTTCAAAGATCCAATATACTGAATGATCGCAGGAAAACCCGTTCCTTGTACCTGCTGTCCATTTAGTGAGGGCTGAAGCCTGCGCTTGGTTAGATGTCTAATGTCTAATAACATAATAATGACTAACTCTCAACTATTGGCGGTCAGAGATTCAGCATCTCTGCCCCAGCACTCTGGAACTCTATCCCACAATCCCTCCACCTCACCCTCTCTCTTACCTCCTTCAAGTCCCATCCAAGGACCTTCCTCTTTAACCGTGCCTTCAGCCACCCAGCACCCCCATCTCCTCCCCTCCATCCCTCCGGACCTAACTCCCAGCTTGGGTCCAAAACCTCTGATTGTCCAATAGCCTGGGACGTCTTTCCGATGTGAAGGTTGCTTTACAAGTGTCATTTGTTGTTGTTGGACGGAGGTAACTGAGGTCTCCTTGGAGCTGAACTGTCTCTAAGGTGACATGTTTGGCAACAGAATGTCAGAATTGAGCCAACCCTCTGTGGCGGTCTCGGTAGACCAGTTCCTGTCCCAGGCAGATCTGTAGTATTCCAGGGCATTGCTGATTAGAGCCCAAGCCAGTCTGACTTATGGGCAGGACTTGGAAAGGCACTGGGAGCAGGGATTCTTCCCACTGAGCTCCTGTAACCCTGCAAGCCAAAGCCCTCATGGGTAGCATGGTCCTAGCTGAACAAGCAACGGGTAAGCTTGCCAGGCAATACCCTCAATGACACGTTATGTAATTTTAGCTGGTTAGACTCCGCAGTAACCCAGCATACTCTGGGGTCTCCAGGTCATGATTCTGGCAAACCTAGACCAAATTCTCCAGAATTAGGTAAGTGGGATGAGTACCTCCAGGGAGAGAGTGCAGAAATAATATCTCTGGAATTTCCATGTGTTGGTGGGATGCAAAAGATTCTGTTTCGTTTGAGTACTTTTAATCATGGTGATGGGTTTCCGCATATATCAGACACCTGGCTGAAGAAACAAAGGATCAGTAAAATAAATACTGTAAGTAGAAAAGGAATAATAATGGAGAGAAAATTATTTTCAATGAAGTCTAACACTTTACAGGACGATTCAAACATTTTTAACAGAGAGAGTTAATCAATAGTAAATGAAATGAATGTTGTGCTCATGCATAAGTGCTAATAACTCTGTTTATGTTAATTTGTGCTTTCTTTTGGACTTTTGTCAGGTGCAGATATTGTTCAATGGCTAATGAAGAACTTGAGCATTGAAGACCAAGGTACAATATACTTATAACTAGTTAATTCTTATATTTTTCGATGAGTGGAAACCATTAAGATGTTTCATAACAATTCCTCCAAACAACACAGAAACAGGATGTTTATTTGCTGCTTAAAACATAATGTCTATTATATTGAATTCATTGAAAGCATTATATAATCTGGAATGACTTGCGTAGCCTTGTTTTTCGCTCAGTAGAATCATTTTCTAAAGTGTATTTTAAGTACATTTTATCAAGTGATTTCTTAATGCATGTCCCCCGGGTATTCTCAATATTTAATGCATGTTTGCTGATACGTTTTATCTTGTCATATAAAGGTATCAGACAATGAATGATAAAGAGCAACAATAACTGTTTACAGAATACAGGGTAATCCTGTTATAATGTGGACATCTGTGGACATATCTCAGAAGTATGAAAAAAAAGTGTGAAGTGTGAAAAATGGCCAACTTCAGGATCATCAGGACACTGCTAACATCATGTGCAGCATACAGGAAGTGACAACTTTTTTTAGCACAGGAAGCCAGCTAATCAGCCTTGGCCATGTGTACCACACTCCCAGGTTTACTGAGAACCCACACTCAACCAGGGTACATTCAAATGAGACATTTTTTTGTTTAATTATTCTTTTTCTTTGCAAACTTCCATTCTCCCCACACCACATTGTTTGTCGGCCTGTGCTAATAGTACTCAGTAATCCAACTTCTAGGAGTGCATGAAAACTATCCCAAGTATCTTGTCTACCTTCGGGTAATACCAGTGGGGAGGAAGTGGGCATAATTTCTCATGGCCTTAGACTTAAAAGCCATTGTGTTAAAATTGAAGATTATACACAATTTTGTAAAATTCTTCCATTCACCTTTAATAATGAGAGCTGGTTTGAAAAGAACTGCAGAAAAACAGCTTGTAAATTAAGACAGAATTTAAGAATTTTCCAACATTTTGCACTTGAAATTTAAGGCAAAGGTTTTAAGACTAAGAACATGAGAAGTATTGAGCTATTGACGCTACCCCATGTGAAGAGTGCTATATAAATGCAAGTTGTTGTTAGTACTGTGCTCCAAAGACTTGGAATAGATAGAGAATCCTCAGTGAAATGAATCATGGCCAGCATTATTTCTTTCATGTGTCCAGTTTGTTGATCAGAGATTGTTTTTCCCACATCCAGAGTTTTTATTGTCCTCCAATTAAAAATGAGAAGTGAAATAATGGAAGCATTGTAGGAATCACTACAAATTTCAATATTTTACAAGAAAAAAAAGGTCACTCACTCCATAATCGTTTGTGGAACATTGCTGCAAGCACTTGGTTGTCGTGTTTCGCTCACAAAATACACATGTGAAAGGCACTATATAAAATGCAAGGATTATTATTATCAGAAAAAAAAATTTAAAAACTCATTCTGCAGTAGAATACATTACTGGCAGCCCTTTTTTGTCTTTTTCATTCAAACTAATATAATTCAAATGCACTATTGGAAAATCTGCTTCAGCTTTCTGTGGTTTAAGGTGTTGGACCCTGGGTGGCACAGACAATCTGGGTAAGGCACATACAACAGATTAATTACTAATTATTTTGCCTAGAGGTGTAACATTCATCTTCTCTTGCCATCTGCTCTGTCATTATTCAGAAGAGTGAGCTGATAAATTAGTTATCAATGTTCAATCCTTGAGTCATTTATTTTACGCTTGACAACATTTATAATGTTGAGGCTGACCACAGTCTCTTTTACCTGCTTCAGCAGGTCTCTGATTTTTCATTGCTCCAACTGTTGTCCTTGTGTCTTCTGATAGCATGGACTCCTGCTGGGGTACAAGGATGACATTCACAGTGTTTTATAATGTGTTTTCTGTGATAACATTATTGAATATCACACGTCCCATTTAATTAGGCAGCTCAGGTATCCAGCCAGCTATGTAAAGTACTTTGAGGCGTCTTCCTGATGTGAAAGCGCAATATAAATATAAATTGTATTGAATTGAACAATCGCTCTGAAACGCTACCCCATTTGAAGGGCGTTAATGTAAATGCAAGTTACTATTGTTTTTCTTGTTGTTAATTTGGTAGTTGTCATCCTCTGGAAACTTGTGCCATTTCATCAGGTGTTCCCAGATAGTGAGCAGTAGCACTCTATTTCATCATCCTGGAGTCCCTTCAACTCGCTCCTTCCCATTTTCAAAGCTTGTCTCAAGAATTACTTCTTTTACTGTGGTTTCAGTCATCCTTTGCATCCCTACCCTCTTCAGCTCCTACCACCTGACTCAGGTGCCCAGCCAGAAGAGCATGAGACATCCTCCTGATGAGAAGAGTGGTATATAAATATGAATTGTATTGTATTGATAGCCAAACCCAATCCTGTTTGTATTTAACCTCAATATAGATGCACTTTTAAGAAGGGGGTGGGGGGTCACTGGATATTAACCAGAAATGAGACCTGACTGATTTTTACTCCCTCGTAGTGCATGTATTGCTCCCCTACTACTCTGTCAGCTAACTGAACATAAACCAGTAATTGAACGCAATTCATCTCATTACATTACAATTCATCTCTCCTTATGGTCCAATTTCACTCTGGACTGCACCATGATAAAATGAACTATCAGGGGAGTCTGTCAATTACTTGATATACAGAATGAATAAAAAAGAATAATAATAGTAATAATCCTTGTATTAGATACAGCACCTTATCATGACATCGGGATGTGAAAAAGTGCTTCACAGGATGTACTGTAAAGTAATGAGGTGGGAACATGTGGTCTTTTTGTACAAAAGTTCAATTATTTTCAGTGGCACATCTCAACCCAGCCTTGCTTTACAGGCCTTCATTACAGACAACCTTCACTCTTTCTATGCTTTAGAGGTAATTTAGCCAGTTACTAAAACCGTTTAAAAATGTTTGTTTCTATGGGCAAATTTAGCTCAGAGATGTTGGTGCTCTGTGACGAAACAGCCTAGATTAAGGCAGAGAAAGTAATGTTTCATACATGTGTAGTAAAAGTGGGTCACTGCTCTGCAGTTACCAGCCAAATAATCTTAATGACAACTAACAGAATAGTTCCTCCATCCACTTACTTTATGGCTTATGTGTTTTGCAACTGCTGCTCTGCTGGAATTCAGAATATAATGAATTCCAAGAACTACTCTGACATTTTAACAACAGCAGCTTGGAACATATATAATAATGGTGTAACTACTTTGTGTCCCAAAATCACTGTGACATCTACCTGTCACAATGTTTAATTGCCTGGCTTATCTCTGTTGAATGTTCTCAGTAGCTCTTTCTTGGTCATAACCAATTTCAGTTACCCCTGACTTCGCCTCTTCTGAGCCTAGTCATGTATATAAATATATATATATATATATGCTTTAAAAAGTGGTAAGTAAAATAATTAACACAGTAGAAAACAGAAGGTTTTACCAACAAACAATTTTGCTTTGCAAAACTGTATCTTTTTTCATGTTACAGGATAAACAAGCAGTCAGGTTTTTTCGCTCTCTGTTCTTCTCTTGATCTTACCTCTCTTTCTGGTCAGGCATCTCGCCAGTTAATCCATTTTGGAAGCCCACTCCGCACCTCGACAAAGATTTTTTGAACATTAATGGTCCATCCATTGAGGTTCAGGTCGGAGTATCAAAAGGAGTATCAATTTGAGGTGTGAAGGAACCTGGACATTGTGTTTGGGACATCGTTCCTGACCTCTCATGGTACATTTCCACTCGAGAGTGACCAGTTTGGAAGACAACGTCTTTTCAACCTGCTTCCAGATCTGATAGAACTTCCGCTATTGATTGCTTTTTTTTTATATATACATATGATGGCTCGGTAACTTTCAATTTAAAAAATTGTCACACTTTACCCTTCTGATATATTCTTCGCCAAAACTCTGAAGCGTGCTTATACAAGTCCTTCAAGGCTTGTGCTACTATTTTATTATTTTATATTTTGTGCTACGTTTTCAAGATATCCGAATAATGTTGGTTTGAAAAAGAATGAATTAACTTGATTTATTAGACTCATTTATTGCCTTTCATCACAGTCTAGTTTTAAAGAAAGCTAAACACAGACTAGGGCATGACCTGTGGAATTCTGTCTAAAGCCACCTACTTCCAAAGCAGAGTTCCAGCGAATCAACATGGTCACAAGAAATTGTTGCTCAGAGTTGCTATTAATCATTCCCATTAGGAAGCGCAGCTATTTAGATCCTCCTTGTGGATAGATTCTTAGCGTGGGTATCAGCATGGCTCATTTGATGGCACTCTCGCTTCTGAGTCAGAAGATTGTGGGTTCAAGCCTCCATCAGAACTTTGAATGCACAGTGGTTGACACCCCAATGCAGTGCTAGGCGGTGTTCTGCATTATCAGAACTGCCATCTTTTGGTGAGATGTTAAACCAAGGTCTTGTCTGTCTATTCATGTGGATGTTAACGATCATCACACGATTCAAAAAGGGAAGGATACTATTGCCAGTGTCCTAGCCAACAGCCCCCCAAACACAGTCACTGCACTTCAAAGTTAAAATCATGTGAAGTGCTATGAGATTCTTTGAATGCACCTTGTGGTGCATACATTTACCCACAAAGAGAAAAACAGGAAATGGTAACTTGGTATATTTAAGTTGAATCCACCCGTGATTGATATTATAGTCATTTGGCAAAGATCCATTATGGCTGTCCTTATTTTAATGTGGAAAATGAAAGACTATAATTGTTCCGAAAGTATATTTTCCATCTAATATCTATGTTGGTATGAGCAGAAATCTGCTGCTAATGTTATTGCAAGGAAGTTTCTAGGCATGAAGGTTAATAATTCTGTTTCATCTTTAAGAACAAGAATAATTAGGGACAGGAAAAGACATATTAGATTCAATGTGTCTGTGGCAAAAGCAATGGTACTGTAAGAAGTGGGATCTGAACCCATGCATCCAGACGAGACAGTGACCTAATATAAACCACTCAGGCTTCTTAGTTGTTTATGTTTCCTGTTTTGGTGTCTGTGT